CCTTACCCTGGCCTTTGCCCCCGTGGGCATGTGGGCCTGAGCACACACCTCGTCCACGTGTGTTGCTCTGTGAGCACACACCCACATGTACACTTGTGCACTCACACACACGTGCACTGCTCGAGGTTGTGCGGGTGGTCAGGTTTGCGGCCATCTACAGAGCTGGGTGCATGGGGCTGCCCCTCCAGCTGCCTCTGTCTGAGTCTGGGCCCCGGGAGGATCCTGCAGCTCAGTCCCCTGGAGTGAGGGACGGGGCACGCACCGCCTGCTCATCCCGAACCATGCTCCAGCCAGGGGGCCTGTGTGGCTTCAGGGGATGACGGAGCAGAGCAGCTGGGAGAGAAGGCTGGGGTGCCCCCAGGCTGGGGCCTCCTACTCCTGTGGGCTCAGCCCCTGGGGCCTGGGTTCAGGAGGACCCTGCCTGGCACAGGGGTGGCCTGTGTATGGCCTTCCTGTCCTGGGCATGGGTGCAGTTAGGGTCTTTGAGCACTGGCCATGGGAGTAGCAGAGCTCTGCCTGGCCCAAGGCCCAAATGCCAGCGATGTGGGCGTAGAGGGCCAAATGTACTCCTCTAATGGGAGAGGAGACGGGTCTTGGGGCAGGCTTCTGTGTCCTGAGGGCTGCCACCTCCCTCAGCCCCAGCCGGACCTCCCAGAAACCCTTCCCATGGGGTTTGTCAGCCAGGCCTATGCTATCACATTCTGCCCCCAGGGTTGGTTTTGGCTCCTGGAGCCAGGCCCAGCTGAGGTGGCCCCGGTGTGCCCAGCGCCCTCTGACCAGCACCCCCTGTCTCCCTGCAGTACACCTCCAGCATGAGAGCCAAATACCTCGCCACGAGCCAGCCTCGCCCCGACTCCAGCGGCAGCGGCCACTAGACCGCGCTCCAGGCAGCCACCCGCCCCACGTGCCAATCGCCCCCTCCCCGTGCCAGCACTGCCGCTTCCACCCAGGGCCATCCCAGGACCTCCGCACGCCATTCCAGGCCCGCCTCGGACAGGCGCATCTGCAGGCTGCTTGCCCCTTGCCCTTCCTCTCCCCTGCCCACAGGGGCACAGTTGAGAATCGGGTCTCTGGACCCATGCCCCCAACGTGAGTCACACACCTGAACGCTGCTGCCACCACCCTGCCCTGCACGGCCACCCCTGCCCCTAGATTCACCAAGCCCACTCTGGGCAGGTGCTTGTGCCGTGACACGTTCCCTCTGTAGCCGACGCAGCTCTTACCCCCATCCCTGCCTGCACCCTGGCCTGTGCTGTCCCTGCTGGGCCCCTTCCCTCCTGCAGCTCTGACGCCACCTGCCCAGGTGCTTCTGTGGACCCCTTCTTAGTTCACAGGCATGGCAGGAGCCCTCTGTGCCAGGCATCCTCTGGCCACCGAAGGACAGGGCACACCGCCTGCTCGTCCGCAGACCTCGCGGCCCCCACGCACCCATCTCTGCAGTGTCTGTGGCGCCCTCCTTGCCCGTGTGGCACAGCTGACCACAGCTCGCCTCTCCCTCCAGCTGCCAGAGCATCTCGGGGCCCTCTCTGCCTCCCGCCGCCTCTCTCTCCCTCAGCGCCTGCCCTGCGGAGGCGCCAGCCCTCCCGCCTCCCAGTGCTGGCCTCCTTGGTGCCAAACCCCCTCCCCTGACCCCGGAGACTGGGCAGCTTCATCTGGTTCGTTTTTTGCACTAACAACATTTGTCATCTCCAGGGCTGCAGGCTGAGGGGATCACCAGCCCCTTCCTTCCCTTCTTGGTTCTGTTTCCATCCATGACAGGTGCACAGTCCCCGGAGCCTGGCCTCGGGGGCTGGACCCAAGCTGGCTGGGAATGTGCCCTCAGCCCCTGCCACCCTCCCAGGACTAACCACTGACCTCACTCCCAGCTCCACGGGCGCCCCTGGCTGAGAGCCAGCGAGTATGACCACAAGTCCAGGCTGGAGCCGAGGCCCAGCACAGCTGGCCAGGAGCTGGGCCTGGGGTAGCTGTTTCTTCGTGGGGTGCTGCTGGGGAGGGGCCCTAGACCAGCAGGCAGCCCAGAGGGCCAGAGACGCCTCCCTGGGCAGCTGCTATCCCAGGAGAGCTGCATCCTTGGCAATGAATATCCCACGGGCTGTGGACTGGGGTCACTGCAGCCTCGGTCTCCCTCCCTGTGAAGTGGGAACACGGCTTCCCTAAGGTGCTTTTGGCTCTAGTGTACGATGTTTGCTTCCTGCCATGGAGGGTAGAACCACCCCCAAATCAGGACTGGGAAGTTCTGCCCCTTCCAGCCCCAGCCTGGCCCAGATGGTGGGGCTGAATGCGTGTGCCAAGGTCAGGGGCAGCCAGAGGGCCCTGGACAGCCACGGCAGGGGTCAAGGCCAGGCCCCGCAGGGAAGGGGGCAGGCAGCCCCAGCAGTTTACAGACACGTGGTTCTCCCGGAGCAGCAGGGCAGCTCCCTGTACCAGAAATGTCCTCATCCCTCCCCAGGCCAGCTCCCCCTGCTCCTCCTCCGTGACCCCCCTTCCTTTGTGCTGGTGTCTGGGACCAAAAGGGGGGGTGGGGCAGAGGGGAGCCAGTGGGCCTGGGGCCCCAAGCCTGGGCATCTGAGCCCCCCGGGCATGACCAAACCTCGTGGAGGAGACTGCTCCAGGCCCTGCCGGGCCGTCGTTCTGAGCCACATGGGGCGCAGTGGACCTGCCAGCCTTTCCTCTGGGTGCGACCCGCTCTGGGAGCTTTCCTGACTGCAGGTCTGGAGGGGGCACCAGCACCCCTACCTGGGTGCCTGCTGAGCGCCTGTGACAGCTCAGAAGCACAAATGCTGCCCGCGGCCGAGAGGCTGCCGCAAGGTGAATGTACATAGCATGAGAGGTGGGCGCTGCCCGGACGTGGCTGTGACCCCGTGCTGTCTTGGGACTCCCGACTGTCGTGTGCGTGCGTGCCCTGTCTGTGACTTTTTACTCACCGAGGTTGAAGACAGGAAAAGGGAAAATCAAAAGGGGTTCAAACCCCACCTCAGTAGTTGCGGGGAGCGGCTTCTGCCAGCAGTTTTCTGTCCTGAGTGCCGCCTTCCCAACCCCCATCCCAGCGACCTCTCCACACCCACCAGGGGCGTCAGGCCAGGGCCAGCTGCCCGTGGCCAGCCCCATGCTCACCCGCACCAGTGGGCCTCATCCCCCCAGGTCCTGCAGCATGGGAGTGGGGCAGAGAGGGGCCCAGGCCAGCTGGAGGGCTCCCTGGTGCCCACTCCCCTGGCCCTGGCAGGTCTGGGTAGAGGAGGGGCCTGGTTGGAAGCCCCCAGCCCTTTCCCTGCCACACCAACCCACCCATCTCACTATGCAATCCAGTTCCAAGAACCATCCCCTGCTCTAGGGCCCGGCTCGCCCAGCCCCAGAGGAGGTGGGGCTTGGCCCCAGATGCCAGGGCAGGCAGGGGCCAGGACTTTCTGCGGGGGTCTCTGGTTTGGCCATAATGCTTGTGTGCCACACCACTTCCGGTTTGTTCCATATTATATATATGAAATTTCCCAGCTCATTCCCCCACCCTGCCCCAGGCCCTGGCATCTCACCACCCCCACCCAGCGGACTTGACAGCGGGGCAGCACTGAGGCCTGAACCATTTTTGCATTTTCCCCTCCAGCCTCCGTAGGTCCATGGCTGTACGTACTGTCGCTGTGTTTTTGTTTTTGTTTTTTAGAACTGGGTTTGGGGGTTGATTTTTATTTCTTTGGGGGCTTTATTTTTCTTGGCAAATACTAAAAATCTCGTCAATGTAATTTCTGTGGTTTCTATTCAGCTTGGGTTTCATGTTTTAAAATAAACAAGTTTTAAAAAACAGGCCTCTTCCTGCACTGTTTTGGCTCCCACCCGGCGCTTCCACAGGTCCGTGCAGCTGGGGGCGGGGCGGGGAGCGGGGGCTCGCGGGCCGGGGCGGGGCCTGTCCTGCTTGGAGTCCAGTTGGGATTTGGGACGGAGCGCTGATCCAATCAAGCCTGCGGTAGAAGCCTGGCTCTGCGGTCGGGCCGTGTGCTTTGGGGGTCGCTGTGCAGAGGAGAGGGAGGCACCGGGGCTGGAGAGGCCAGAGGCTGGGTCCCCACTCCCGCCACTCCCCTTCCCTCCAGATGCCGCACCAGGGCTGGGGTCCCCTCCCAGTCTGTCCTGGAGAGCTCGGGGAGGGAAGGTGAAGCCATCCCCACACAGCCCTGCAGGTAATGCCACCCACCCCACAGGAGCCCTTAGGACCTCTGAAGTTGGGGGTGGGGGGGGAGGCCCCTTTTGACCAGCAAAGCATTCGTCCCCCAAGCCTGGGTGCACAAGGGAACTGCCAGGCCCAGCGCAAGTCCCTGGACTCTCTGTGGCTCCCAGCTTTCAGGGCACATGTGGGCTCCTGGTGGTGGGGAGGGGAGCAGAGCCCCTCTCTCCTGCACCAGCACAGGCCGGCAGCCTTATACAGCACTTTTTGATTTAACTGTGGCTGCTCTGGGAAGGGACCAGGACATGCGAGCTCTGGAGAATGGCCGCTGAGCTGCCAAGGGTGGCAACCTTTGAGGATTCCAGGGTGTCATGTGATAAGGACAGTGAACTGGGGGCTTTTGGGGCCTGGCCTAGGAGCCCAAAAAGACAAGAAAGCCTGAGGCCTGGAGTGAGAGCAAGGGGCCTCAAGGGAAAGACCCCGGGCCTGTCCCTCCCCTCTCCGACTCAGTCCCTGTGTCTGTATCAGGGACACCCTGGTCCTAACAGCGTAGCATACCATCCATTCGTGTGCCCAGTGGGTGTGTTTAAGCCCAGGCACTGTTCTAGGTGCTGGAGCACAGCCACAGACAGGACCCAGAGCTCTGTCTCAAGAAGCCCGTGCTCCAGTGGGAGGACGTGAAGGTGCAGGTACGGCAGAAAAGGGACCAGGGGGCCCTGTGGGGCCCAGGCGCAATTTTCAGCAGTCAAGAGAAGTCTCCCTGAACAACTTGCAGCCAAGGAGAGACTGTGAGAGGTCGGGAAGCATGTGAGGTCCCCTCTGCTGCTGTGACAAATCACTGCACACACACTGCACGTAACACACATTTATGGTCTTGGAGTTCTGTGGGGCAGAGTCTCCCTGGGCTAAAGTCAGGTGTCAGCAGGGCTGCGTGCCTCCCGGAGGCCCTGGGGACTAGTCCAGGAAGAGCCCATGTCCTCACCTTTCCAGCTCCGGGAGGCTGCCCACATTCCTTGGCTCCTGGCCCCTCCTCCAGCTCCAGAGTCAGCAGCAGCCTCAGAGCTCGCTCTGACCCGACTCTTCCACCTCCCTCTCATGAGGTCCTTTGTGACAACACTGGATAATTTGGTATAATCTTTCCATTTCAAGATCCCTAATTAACCCATATCTGCAAAGTCTCTTTTGCCGTGTAAAGTGACATGGTTGCAGACAGGTCTGGGAATCAGGACAGGGTCATCATCTTTGGGAGCCATTATTCTGCCTTCCATGGGAAGCTAGTCCTGTGGCTATCTGATGAAAAGAGGGTTCTAGGCAGAGAGAACAGCACGTGCAAAGGCCCTGAGGCAGATATATGCCTGGTGTGTTCAAGCAAGGGTATGAGAGTGGCCGGAGGGGAGGGGCTGGGGGTCACACAAGGGTTGTGGGCCCCTAAGGACTCAGATTTATCCCCGGGGCGAGGGGGGGGGGAAGGGTCTGAGCAGTGTCACATGACCTAACATTCATGTAAACAGGATCACCCAGGCTGCAGAATTGGGAAGGCGACAGGGCCCATGTGAGAAACCAGGCAAGAGCTGGTGGTAAGGAGGCAACGGCAGGCAAGAGCTGGTGGCAGCCAGGCTGGGGTGGGGCAGTGATGGGAAGGGCTCAGGTTCTGGAAGGTGACACCAACAGCGCCTCCTCCAGACTGGGCATGGTGTGGCTTGGGGCCGAGCAGCTGGGGGAACGGTATTGTCATAAATTGAGATGGGACAGTTGGGAGGGTGCAGGTTTGGGGCAGGGGAGGTGAGAGGGCCAGTTTTGGACATGGTGAGCCTCAGGTGTCTCTCAGCCATCACAGGGTGTGGGGAGGCGATGGGGTGTGCAAGTCTGGGTTCTGGGGAGAATGCTGGGCTGGAGACAGGTCTCGCTCTGTCGCCAGGACTGGAGTGCAGGGACGGCATCATGGCTCACTGCAGCCTCGGGCCCCTGGTCTCAAGCGGTCCTCCCACCTCCGCCTCCTCAGTGGCTGAGATTGTAGGTGTGACCTGCTGCACCCAGCAGTAGGGTGTTTAAAGCCGCTAGCCTGGGTGAGATCACCCAGGGAGTGAGTGTCAAAAAGAAGACAGGAAGGCCGAGGACTGGGTGGGGCCCAGTGTTCAGGGTCTGAGACAAGAGGGCAGTGGAGGGGAGGGGAAGGGAGGGAAGGGGACGATAACAGCAAGGTGGGGAGCCCAGGGGAGTGGGCATCCTGGAAGCCACATGAAGGCTCAGTACCCACAAGTGCCTAGAAAGCCCAGCAGTCAGTCCAGGACAGGGTGGGGCAGGAGGGATCGGCACAGTAAGAACGAAGGCCTCTGGGGAGCTCGGCTGCAAAGCAGAAAAACAGGGTGACAGCTGGAGGGGGTGTGGTCCAGAGAAGCAGGGTGTGTGCGCGTGTGCTCGAGTACGTGTGCACGTGCATGTGTGTTAGGCTGGTGGGCGGCAGAGAGGATAAGGGATGGGGGAGGAGAGAAGAGAGTTGATGGTGGGGCTGGGGCCCTGGGCATGGTGGAGGGTTGGCTGCAGCAGGAGCTGGGGAGATGGGTTGAGGGGCTGGGTCCTGGAGGGTCTCCTGAACTAGGAAGCCAGGTCGTTGGCACGTCGAGAGGCTGGGCGGGAGGCGGGAGCCGCAGGTGAGGGACGGGGGACACCCTGAGGGCCCCCTGAGGCCCCTGGTCTGGAACTCAAAGTGAGACTGGGGGTGAGGTGGGGCGTGTGAGGCGGGTTTTCTCCCGCTGTGCTCAGGTGTCGGTGCAGAGCAGGCAGAAGGCGGGTGTAACTGGATCACGGTCACAGCTTGACCGAGAGAGTGTTAAAGGTGAGATCAAGCCCACGAGATTCCAGCCAGGTGAGGACAGCCCAGGAGCGGGATTTGGGACGTGAGAGTCAGGATATAGGAGGGGTGAGGAAAGGGTGTTTGAAGGGAATGCCAGTCATCAGGGATGGACCCAGGAGCAGTGCGGGAGAGGATGCCCCGGAGCCAGAGCAGAAATCTTGCTGGGACAGGGGACGCGGATGTCCACCAGGGGGCGCTGGAGGTGGGGGAGGAGGAGGAGGAGGAGGAAGAAGAGAACAGTCGGCTCCTCCCACCTCAGAGGCCCTAGTACCCAGGGGCTGCTGTGGGGCCGGGCTGCCACCCGGGTGTCAGAGCAGGAGGGGCGCTGTGACACCGAGCCCCGCTCCCGGGCCGGGCACAGGCAGTGGCCACAGGAGGCACAGGCTTCCTTCCGCAGGAAGCTGACTCGAGCTCCACGCGACATCACCCACGTTGCAGGCAGGAATCAGACATCAGTCCTGACGTCACAGGCACAGGGCTGCAGAAGACCCTTCTCCAGACCATTAGGGGCTGCACCCCCAGATCCAGCGAGGGTGCCAGGAAAGGTGGGACTCAAAAGGTGAGAGAAACTACCGCTGTGGCCACCAGCCGGCGCCCGAGGACTGTGTGGGCCATGCGTGGAGCAGAAGTGGGTCTGGGAAGCAGCACAGATGTGAGCCCTCAAACTGCACGGCAGTGACATCTGGGCAGCCTCCAGGCTTCAGCCTCCCTGCCCTGGGTCTCCAGTCATGCCTTCTTGTATTTCCAGCCTGAGCTCTGAAAGCGGGGCTGGGGAGGGCCCAGGTGGCAGCAAAACTAGCCCATGATTCTGGCCCTGGCCCCTGCCTCCCCTCTGACCCCAGGCCCAGCACCAGAGCCTGTGGAAAGCCCTGGTTGCCTGCTGGTGTGTGCGTGGGAGGGGGGATCGTGGAGACCCACCCCAGTGCTCATCCTACCTCCCAGCCTCCCGTCTGGTCCCTCCTCTGCACCTGTGCCCAGGCTGGCCCTGGGACGCCCAGCTGAGGGGCCTCACCCAGGAAGCCTGCCCTGAAGACCTCAGAGGAGGGGAAGTTCCTTCAAACCAAGGGAGGAGGGGACCCACCCTAGCAGCCCTCTCCCCACCTGGGTCAGCCTCCGCTCTGGCTGGGGCTGAGGCTGCCACCCTCGCTGCCCACCCAGCAGCCTCAGCAGCTGCAGTTTTACTTGTGAGAGTTCAGAAGCACCACAAATGACCAGCAGTTTGTTGGGGGCACCTGGCTGGACCAGACTGGGGGATGTGGAGCCCCCGGGGCCAGTGAGGGCCCTTTCTGATCAGCCCCTAGTCTGGTGTGTGGGTTGGGGGGGATGACGCTGTCAGTAGGTGGGGCACAGCTGTCCCCAGAACGTGCCTGGGGGAGAGATGAGTTCACCTCTCCTGCCAGGGTGACTCACCCTCCGGTTGGGGGGCCTTCCTCCTACTCCTGAAGCAGCGGGTGGAAGTGCTCAAGCTGCCCCTTGCCCTAAGGCCCTGCTGGACCTGTTTCCCCTTCTGGGGGGAGAAACTTCCCTCCCTCAGCTTGAAGGAGGAAAGGACCAGGTGCTGCCCTAACCCTAACCTGCCCAGGCCCAGAGCATTTTGTCCCCAGTCCTCAGATGGCGGCTGAGGCCTCCTCCTGCCAGCTCCTCTGCACTCACTCAGCAACCCACTGCCCCATTCCCCTCCCACTGGGACATGAGGACAAGCTGTGATGACCAATGGCCCCATGCTAACGTGGACTCCACCTGCCCCAGTAGGGGCCACACTGCTGTGCCTGCAGGGGCTGTCCCGACCACTGGGACAGCCAGGCCTCGGCCCAGGGTCCCTCCAGCTCTGTCGGGAGGCGATGCTAGCCACAGGGGATGGCGTGGGGGCCAGGGCAGAAGGCATCAAGCCTCTGACTCACCCGGGCAGGAAGGAGGCCCACAGCCTCTTCCACTGTAACCACCCCCCCAGCAATTTTGGCTCCCCGACCCAGAAGCTGGGCCCTGCACCACCCTGAGTGGTCAGCACACGGTGGGTGCTGAGGGAGGGTAGCAGCCGAGTCTGGGGGTGCCCCCTACAAGAGTCAAGCCAAGGGAGGGTGAGGGTGCCTCGTCCCCCCATCCCAGGGAAGCTGCTCTGCTGATTCAGGCCTGTCCAAGGCCAAGTGGGGACCAGGTCCTGCCAGCCACCCCCAAGGCCAGGGTAGCCACCATCTATGGTCGTGAGGAAGGGGCCCTCCCCGGCTGTGTGGGCACTGAGTGTGTGCGTGCGTGGGCGCAGGCCAGGCTGAGCTGGCACAGGAGGGGCTGGGCTCTGGTTTGGAGAAGAGGAAGTGAGGCCCTGGGGCTGCCGGGAAGGGGGTGGGGAGGGAACCCCTGCTGGGGGCTGCCTCTGCCCTCCCCTGCTCAGTCTACCCACAAAGGCTGGGTCTGAGGAATTAAAGGTCAGACTCTTAGCCCAGGCTCCTGGGACCTGCTGAGGTGGGGGCTGGGGCCACAGCCACTTGGGCACTGCCCACCTTTCAGAACGCCCCTCCCATGAGCTGAATCAGGGTGTCAAGATGTTTCAGGGAAGGGGGTGGAGGGCAGTGACCAGCACATGGGGGATGGGACACATGGCCTGCACAGCCTCTGAGTCTGAGCTCCTCCAGCCCAGCTGCTTGACTGTGGGCAGCACCTGCTGAGCCTCAGTTCCCCCATCTGCAAAATGAGACAAGGCTGTGGACTCTGTGGGCTCGTGACAGGAATGGAGCTGGGTAAGGAGGTCCCAGGCTGCTACCATAGTTACCGTCTCTCCTGCAGGGACCAGGCTCCCGGGCCAGGCTGTAGTTCTAGAGCCTGGGGCTGCTCTCTGGGTGGGACGTAGCCCCCAGCAGCCCTGACTTGTTCCCGGGAAGCACAGTGCCCACCTGCCCCGGGGCTGGCCCAGCTCTCAGGCACCAGCAGGTAGCTGTTCTATTTCCTCTGCAATAGTTGCTTTGGAGGGTTTTCTACCCACCTATGCCACTAGGTACATGAAAAGGCTGAGCCACCCCCTCTCCTGTGTGCCCCAGCGCCCCTGAAGCCACCTCCCATGGACCTGGAGCTCAGGCTCCACTTCCAGCCAAGACCAGGAACCCCGAGGTCGCTGCAAAGAGCACCTTTATTCACAGCAAAAGACGTCACCATAGCAACAACACTTCAATTCCCTGAGAACATTCCCTTATCACTGGCTTTCCTAGCTATGTCTTTGCAAAGAGAGAAACAGAACACAAAACGCCCTGACAGGACAGGTGAGCCGAGCTGGGCCCTGCGGGATGGCGGCTGTGCGGGGCAGGGCGGGAGATTCCAGATACTGGAACATAAATACATAGAGTGTCACACACGGCCACTTCAGCTTTGATAACAAAGACCATCCCAAGTTTGGCTTCTGCATTTTCTGATCCACAGAAAAGATAAAATAAGACCCTCCCCCACCCCCTGAAAACACAAAACACCCCACTTTTTACCCACCCCCTTTCAAAAAAAAAGGCACAGTAAAAAAATACTGTCACAATATTTACAGGCACGCCCACTGTGGGCGACGTTCTCTCTACTTTGGAGAGGAGATAAAATGCTCAGCTCTGACTCACCCGATGCTGGGGAGACAAAGGGAAGACCCCTGCAAGGAAGGCTAGGGGGGAGCCACTGGTCACCCAGCTGACGGCCACCAGGGGCTTCACGGGGAGGCCCCGGGAACCAGGACTGGGCAGTGTCTGCTGACCGTGCCCCAGCCAGAGCTTAGCAGGGCAGGGGCTGGGACCACTCACCCCCAAAACCAGCCTCCCCTGCGCCAAGCATGGCGCAACCATGCTGGGGACACCAGGCAGGGGCCAGGATTCCAGGCACCGGCACGCCAGCACACAGCCGGTGCTCAGCAGGGAGAGCAAGGCACCTACGTGTACCTGCAGGTAGCCCGGCACTCCAGGCTGCAAAAAGATCCCAAAATACTAACAGAACTGCCCTCAGAGTGACTTCCAACATCCAAATCCTTCTGAAGCCCATGGAGCCTCAGAGCACAGGGACACGGATAAGTGGCACTTCTGCTGGCCCCTGCAGAGCAGAACTGACCAGCAGTCTGCTACACAGATAGACACACGATACACATACATGCACATGGAGGCACAGCCCTGGGAGAGCCTCAAATGCCGAGGCAAGGGCGGCACGACAGGTCCCTGGGCCCTTTGGATACCAGGGGCACCCAGGGATGGGGTCTCAGCTATGGCTGCTAGAAGATGGAAGTGCGGGGACACCAGGGTGTGTCCGGGTACAGGTGGCAGTGGATGGAGCGGAACCTGTAGGGACAGAGCGGGGGGCTGGTCTGTGTGGGGTGGGGTACAGAGAACCTGTCTGTAGGCCTACAACACTGGGGGGCCCCACCCACCCTGAGCAAGCAGGACATTGGGGGCACCACTACACAGTCGTGCTGCTCAGAGACACCCAGCCCCAGTCCTGCCCACCCCCCAGGAACCTCTGGAAGCCCCTGTCTGGCCTCAGTTTCCTCACCTGGATGGGTCAGCCTCCACCGAGAAGGGCCCCTTCATGTGGACCGCATTCCGCTTGTTTTCAAACATGCCATAGCTCAGGGTCACCTGTGGGGAGAGGGGGCAGTGATGCCAGGAGGGGTCCCAGTATCCCTGGGCTGTGTCCAAAGCTGACCACATGGCCCTGAATGAGGAGACAGCCCTGCCTTGCCCTCCTTCAGACCTAGAGAGACACCTGCTCTGCACACCCGGTAATAAAAGTCCAACACAGTGGCGACAAGTGGGGCTGGTCGAGTCGCCAGTCATGCACAGGAGAATCTCTACTGATTCAAGAAAAGACCCAAGGCCCAGGGCAGGTGTGTCACACTTCAGAGGAACAAGGGGAGGGCAGACGGCATGCTGTGGCCAGTGGCCACACTGCTGGGGTACCCGATGGCCACTGACCATGGGGTCTCCCTGGCTGCCCCAAGTGGTCCCCGCATCCCCCTTCCCATGTGTGTCTGAGTCCAAGCCAGGCCCCGGGGTGTCATACCTGCTCATGGAGCTTGGAGGCGGGCACCTGCTGGAGGTTCTCCAGGTGGGAGTGGAAGAGGCCGCTGCGGATGAGGGGCACACCCAGCAGGGCCTCCACGATGTAGCCGATGGTGCAGTCGTCGGGGAGCCGGATCCGCTCGGCCGTGCTCATGAAGTGGCCCCCGCTGCGGAACAGAAGGTCCTGGACAGTGAGCTGGGCAGGAGCCGCCCGTGGAAGCTGGGCAGGCCCCACCAGGCATCCCATGTGGAGAAGGCGCTGGCCCAGAGGGGAGGTGGCCATGCCCCAGAAGCAGGGTGTGTGCCGCAGCACGCTCCCCTGCACCTGCCAGGGCTCGAGGGCGCTGAGTGGGGTGCCAGGTGAGGAAGGGCTCCTGACACAGCTGCCCCTAAAACCTGGAGGGCCGGAAGGGGAAGGCAGGCAGGAGGGGGCAGCACCTCGCAGGAGGCTGGGGACAAGAGCCAAGCCAGGCCCCCATGGTGGGAGAACCTTGAGACCTGGGGCAACCTTGCTGGCCGGTCGTTGGCCTCACCTGTGCAGGGCACTCACCTGGCCCACGGGCTCATCTTCAGGGCCAGCCCACGGCTGATGCAGAAACCAGCCCCACCCGTGGCAAACCAGAAGTGGACAGGACGCTGAGGGAGGGGAGATGTCATGAGAGGGGGCACCGGACTCCCCACCACCACGTCCAGGCCACAGTGTGGCCTTCAGCCCTCCCACTCTGTGCCTGGGTGCGTGTGTGACATGGACGGGAACGGACACTCACCACCTTGTTCTCGCTGACCCGCTCGGTGGCCTGGATGGGCCGGTCCAGGCTGGGTTTGCCGATGTAGACGTCCTGGGTGTGCGGGTAGCTGGCCAGCAGCTGCAGCAGGGCCCGCAGGTTGACGTAATTGTCGTCATCCACATGACAGAACCACCTGAGGGCAGGACCATGGGGAGGGCATGAGGGGCGCAGGGGCTGCCAGGACAGGAGCATGGGGGCGTCTCCAGGGGCCACACTCACTTCCTCCCCGACTCGATGAAGTGGTCGTACTCCACGGCCATCTTGCAGGACAAGGCCTGGCGGCTGTGGGCAGCCGAACAGTTCGTGTTGACCACGTTGCCTGGGGGCGGGGGAGGGGCCGTGAGTGGGTCTGAGCTGGCTCAGAGCGGGGCCTGGCCTGGGGACACAGCAGGGCCCCAGCGGCTCAAGAAAACCCCCTGGGTTCAAGCCTGGCCTGCAGTGGCCTTAACCCCCCACCAAGGGCCCAGGCCAGCTGACCCTCCCCCAGCCCAGCCCCCTCCCAGTGCCCCGCCCTGGCCCATTCACACAGCTTTTTCCCAGCACCCGCCACCTGTTGCAGCCGCTGGGGCTCAAAGGGACCCAGGGGGCTGAATGGGCCTCATTTGCATGAGAATTGGGGGGCCTGGAGTGGTGGGGCGGGGCGTTGAGCAAACCTGTTGAGTAAACTGCCCTACCAGGCCGGCTGCCCTCGACCTCTCTGCCCCCAGCAGGGGGAGGGGCAGAGGGAGGGTTTCGCTCAGATTGAGTCCACCGTGCGCCCCTCCCACCCCAAGTCCAGGGCTCACCCGTGTGCCTGGCCAGGGCTTCGTCCTCCCCGTCCGTGAAGATGAACGTCTGGAAGGAGAAAAGTGGCCCTCAACAGGCAGCTCTTGTGTCCCCACGGAAGCACTAGGGGGTGGGGCCAGGCACCCTGGCGTTTCCGCAGCTGGAGCTCATGCACTTAGTCCCCACCCTTCTCCAGGCCTCGGTTTCCCCAAGTGCAGAGCGGGCTGAGCTGGAGGCACATGCAGAACTCCCCCTCAGGAAGTGGGGCCTCCCTCCCAACCTCGACAGCTGGACGAGGTCACCCAGGCACGAGCCAGGTGGGGTGCCTCACCCACCCGCCAGGTAACAGATTCCGCCTGCCCTGTGCACCTGGCGGGGCACACACCCTTATTGACACAGCGCCCAGCCTGCCACTTGGAGGCTGCGGGAGGGGGGCGGGACGGGTGGGAGGACAGGCGGAGGAGGTCGGCTTTGGTAAGCCAAGTCTCAATCACTTGGGTCGGGGACAAAGGCCTCTGCTGGGCGGCTGCCAAGCCCTGGCGGACAAAGGGCCGGGAGAGAGGATGAATCACCAGGCATTGTCTGCCAGCTTTGTCCTGGGCCGCTCGGAGAGGGGCGTGGGGCCGGCCTTAACTCGGCCGAGTTAAGCGGGAGTGGCCGCGCTGCCCATTACCATACAGCTGGCTTGGTTAACTGGGCCGGGCTGGGCACGAGGACTGTCGACTGTCGGGCAGGGTGCAGCCACCAACATTGCAGCCCTCCAAGCCTGGGCTTTTACGCCAGACCCCGGACCCTGCTGTGTGGCCAGCCCGGCAGGTTACCCTCTCTGAGCCAAAGCAGCCTGAAATCACCTCACTGATGGTCAGCGGGACTGTGGCAGGAAACCGCAGGTGTCCCAGCCCACGGATCAGGGTCCCTGGCACCCACGCAGCCCAGCCACCTCCTGCTGCTCCGGCAAGAATACCTGGTTGCAGACAGGCCTTGCCCAGGGCCTCGGCACAGGGCGAGGTTCCACCTGTGCCAGCAAGAGGCCACCCCCTGCCAGGATAGCTCTGCGGAAGAGGAGAGGGCCGACGGGGCGGGGACAGGAGCCGCTGGCGCCCGCCTGGGCCTGTCGGCACATGGGGAGGAATGTTCCTTCCTCTGCCCGGCCCGCCCAGCGCGTGCCGCCCGGCGCACCCTGGCATGGCTGAGCGCAGAGCCTGGGGCAGGTGGGGGATGCTCTGAGCAAAGGCAGCAGGGCACCCACTGACACCCACCCGGCCTCGGTTTCCTTCCACGTTCAAATAGGTCCAACAGGGCTCCAGCATGTGCAAGCCTGGAGCACAGTGCATACCCAGCGGCTGGGGAAACCCACCCCAGGCAGGAGGGGTCCCACCCTCACCTGGGCAGCCTCAGTCCTGGGCACAGTCTCAGGTGAGGCCATGAACTGGGGATCATAGGCCCAGAGCTAGGGGGTGGCAGGCTCCCTCTACACCTTTTCTGCACACCTCCTGCAGAGCCCAGCAGACACCCCAGGGCAGCTGCACGCACAGACTCGCACCCAGCCTCCCCGAATCTCAGCCCAGGAATGCCGTGGGAGGCAGAAGGCCGGCCCGTGCAGACCCGTGCAGACTGCCGCTGGATTAAAAGGAAAATGCTTTCTTAATGAGATCAAGGGAGGCCTGTTCTCCCGCGGTTTGGTGTGCCCTAAAAACCCAGCCCCGGGCTACAGATTAAAGTCACCTTTGTTCAGCTTGGGGAGCAGGGAGGCCTCCAGGAGAACAGCATCTGAGAGGGTGGGGCCGTGGGGGTGCCAGGCCCTGTTTCCCCACAACAGAGCGACCAGGAGAGGAGGGCAAAGGGGATACCCCACCACAGGCCTCGCCCACCCTAAGAGCCTCAGTTTCCTGTTCTGTAAAATGGGCATAACGGACCTCACCTGCATGGAGAGCAAAGCGGAGACAGATTCTCTTCTCTCTCTAGCAGCCCTCGGGGGCGGGCACCATTACCATCCAAGGTACAAATGGGGAAACGGAGGCCCAGAGAGGTACAGGCATCAACCCTTGGTCATACTCTGGAGCCGAGGTAGTGCTAGACCAGCTGAGCCCCAGCTTTTCAGGGACTCAGATGCCCCAGTGTCCCCCAACTTCCCTGCTGGCTAGAGGAGGAAGAGCAGGGCAGCAGGGTGGACGAGGGAGGGGGTGGGGGGACACCCACAGGAAGCGGCATTGTTCCTGGAGCCGCGATTCAAAGAAACACAGGATGCCAAGTTCTCCCCCCACAATTGTGGCTGCTGTGGTGGCAGCCACTCTAGCCTGGCCCGCTCCTGCGAGGGGAGGGGGAGGCACATGTGGGCCAAAGGCCAGGCTCTTCATCCTGGACGCCCCTATGGCCAGCCCTCCCCCCAACCCCCACTCCGATTGCTAGAAGCTTCTTGCTCAACCCCATGCTGTGCTCTGGATGACGGGACTGCCCTTTCTGGGCAATGTTTTTACTCTCAGTTTAGCTCAAATGGCACCTCCTCCAGGAAGTCTTCCCTCCCGCCTACTCGCATGTGGTTAGATGCCCACTCTGGGCTCACACAGCCTCTCTGGGTTTTCCCCAGCACAGCCCTGACCTTGCGTCTCCCCCAGCAGACCAATCTGAGTCACCCTGCACCCCAACTTCCTTTGTGGGGAGTTCCAAAGATCCCTGCCCACAGCAGGGGCTCCAGCTTGCTATGCACACGTGACTGATGCTGGGGGCAGATCAAACCTCTTTGAGTGGGGTGAGCTGGAGAAGGAAAACCTGTGACCCTCCAACAAGGGCCTCAGGGCCCAGTGGAGCGATGGCTTCCACCTCTACCCCGAGTGCCTGCTGGGCTCACGCCTTTACCACCAGGTTTTGCCAGGCCTCTCTTATAATACCCTATTGGAAGAGCCATGTTTCCCCCATTTCAGAGATGAGGAGACCGAGGATCAGAGAAGCCCTAGGTCTTGCTCAAGATCACCCAGCCCAGCTGGGACTGCTACCTGAGAGCCCGGACCATTTCCCCTTTGCTGCAGAAAGGTCCAAAATTCCACGATGCGAGGTGGTCAGAGCTGGTGGCAGCCCAGAGTGGGCTGAGTGATGCCTAAAGTCACACAGCAGGAAGGCTGAGCGTTGGGGGGAGACGGGGCTGGCTCATGGCTGGTGCCCCACAAGGGCTGTCAGTCAGGGATGTTGGGGGGGCCACAGGCCCCCTCATCACCAGGCAACCTGAGTGGTCAGCGCGCCAGCGGCGGTTCCCATGGAGCGCATAGCTGCACACAAGAGGCCCGACGCCTTTCTCGGCTGGAGAAAGGGGCTTTGTTACCTTGCCCAAGGGGCCAGCGTGAGAGCCGCCCGCGCTGGGAATCCTAACGGCCCAGCAGCCAAACAAAACCCACGGCCCCCGCCGCCCCCTCCCGCTGGCCCGCTGAGCCCCTGGGAAAGGGACGCTGTGTTCCCAGGAGGCTGCCATGGGGTTCCCAGGCCCCCCTCCCCACGTCAGGACCAGATAGGACCCTGACCTCCACGGGGCCCTGCTCCCAACCTCTACCTTGCCCCAAACGGGCTCAGCCAGGCCAGAGGTCCTGGGTCCCTGGGGTCTGAACAGGGAGGAAGGGGCACAGGGTCTTCTCCAGACCCCCCACACCAAGTGCCCCAGAATCTCCCAGCCTGGAGATGCCCAGCCCCCCCACCGCACACAGCCCACACTCTGTCCCCGCCCCGCCCCAACTCAACCGTCCTGATGTAGCCTCAAGGGAAATTTTCAAAGTGGGGTGTGTCTGTATTATGCGCTTGCAAGAAGCTGATGCTCAAATGGGCTGTACTGAGCACAGGCTTCCAGGCCTCAGAGAGGCTCGCGCTGTGGGGGATGGGGGTCTCCACACAGACCCCAAAACCCAGGCTCTTTCTTTTGAGATGTTCTCCCTCAGGCCCGCCAGCCAGAAACGGCCCGCCACCCATATCCTAGCAAACTGGGATGAGGTCATGCACTGGCCCAGGGGTCTTGCCCCTCACATCACCTCTAAGGGAAGAGCCTTCCTCCCCAGATGGGGGTCTGAGCCCAGGGTGAATGCTCCACGACAGGCCCAAACAGGTTTGGGGACAGTAATGCCCTATTAATGCGCTCCAGTGTTTGGGGACAAGAAGCATTACAGGGCACCAACCCCAAGCCCTAGAGACTGATGCCCGTCACTGCAGCCATCCGAGGCTCTGGGGCTTGCCTGGCGGTGGTGCCCCTGGGACACAACAGTGTGGGGCGAGCGGCCCGGCAGGCAGACTGGGCTCCCAGGGGGAGGACTGGCGTCGCGCTGCAGAGAGCCCCAGCAGCTGGACAGGGATGCAGCCTGGCCCCCAAGGGACGCTGCCACCAGCTGGACAAGACGGTGTGTCCCCACCCCGCCCAGCCGCCCGGGCTCACCATCTCCTTGTGGCGCGAGATCCAGGTCTCTAGCAACAAGTCGAGGCGCGCGCGGTGAAACTTTTTGGTGGTCTTGACCGCGATGAAGACGTCGCGGGGCGCGAGCGGCTCGGCCAGGGGCCGCGGGTGGCCATCGGCGGGGCGGGAGGCGGCCCCGGACGGCGGGGCTGTGTCTCTGCGCGCGCGGGTCAGCAGGCTGAAGTACTGGGAGAGGCTGTGCACCTCGCGGGCCAGCGCTCCAGGCGCCCCCGCCGCCGCCCCCAACCCGGGTGCCAGGGCTGCCCCCGCGGGGCCAGCCAGGCTACGCAGCGCCCGCCGGCCGCGCTCAGGCAGCGGGGGCGGCGGCGGGTCGGCGGTGAGCACCAGCAGGCAGGCGAGCAGCGCGCCCGCCAGCGCCAGCAGCAGGCGTCGGCCGCAGCGCTTAAGCATATTGGGGAGACGGCAGCGCGGTGTGCCCGGTGCCCCAAGACCAGCACCCGCGCCCCGGCCCGCGCTCCGCGGCGCCGTCCAGCTGTGCGCCACCCGCGCCCGGCCCTCTTAAACCTCCCCGCCCCGGCCCCGCCCCCGCGCGCTCACTGGCTCCCGGGCCCGGGGCGGGGCCTCCCGCGGGGAGCCCCTCAGGGCCCGCCGGCCCACGTGGGGCCACGGCGGGGGGCTGGGAACCGCCTGGCGAGTGCAGCAGCCCCGCCCCACCCCCGCGCACGTGCACACCCCGCCCCGCCCGGGTCGCCCCTAGGGGCCGCCGGGGCCTTCGGGTTGTGGGCCGGGCCGTTGCCCGTGGCCCCAAAGGGGAAACCGGGGCTGGCTAGCGCCGGCCGGGGATGCACCGGGCGTCCGGCACGCGGAGGGGCGCGCCCTTGGCGCTGTGGACTAGGTCCTGGGCCCGGGCTCAGGCGCACCGCAGGGGACACCCCTACTTCCTGGCTGTGGACTTCCCCTCCCAGCGCCCAGCCTCCTCCCCTCGGGACGGGGCAGGCAGGCACACTGGGGCGGCGCCCCGGTAGTCCCGAGCACCTGGCTCAGGGCAGCCGTTATTGATAGGGACCCGGAGATTGGCCACCTGTGCCACAGGTGGGGACACGAGGCTTTCTAGCGAGAAAGCGTCTGTACCAACTCCTACCCCTTTCCTTTGGGCTGATTTCCTTGAGTCCCGGCCCTACGTCGGTGGGTTGGTCCCCGAAATCCTCTGGCGCCCTGGGGCGAGGAGAAGGCAAGGCTGCCTGATCCCTCACAGGATGAAAGGCCGCCTTCTGGCCCATTTGGTCTCTCCAGCCTCGGCCCAGATGTGGCCCAGCTGTGCACCCTCCCCGCCTCCCGGCACTCAGCCCCTTCCCACGGGCCGGCCGGCCTCCACACGAGCGGGGGCGGCAGGAATGCGCGCTTGCAGCCTGGGTGAGGGGCTAGGGGCCCGGAAGTGGACAAGGGTCCCCCGGAGCAGGGTGCCAGCCCCCCGCCTTGCGTCTTCCGGAAGCGTGGGGAAAGGCGGCTCTGCGCTCGGCTGCACCTCCTTCCCGTCTGGCCTCAGCTCCTGTGTCCCCTGCTAGGGGAGTCCTCTGCGACCACCAAGACCACCACTGCTAACCTGGTTCCCTGGGCTCTGCCTACCGGCCCGTTATCTTAACACCCGAAAGGGCATTTTCAGTTATCTGCATGCCACTTTGCGGCGCCTCTCCCTCCTTTGGCCTGAATGTCAACCACAGTACAGCAGCCACCTCCTATAATCCTGACCTGGCCGGGTCTTCCAACAGAGTAGGTGTTCTGTAAAGATTTATTGAATGAACGTCTGGCCCCACCGCCAGACCCCCACAAGGGGGTTGTGGCCCATTTGCTCCTAAGGCCCTGGGGGCCCTAGCCCCTCTGCGATGGGTGGGATGGGGGATGGGGGTTCCCAGACCTCTTCCTGCCCGCCCCAGGTAATTAGCCAGCACCACCTCCAGCAGGCAGATGCCTGAGCAGATGGTGCTGGCTGTACCCAAGTGACAAGTCTCCCATGGCGTCACCTCCTGCCATAAACCCCTCCCCTATCTGCCAGAGCCTAGCCCTGGAGCCTCCAGGCAGCTGGGGAGGCTTGGGGGTGAGCAGGAAAGAGAAAAGCCCAGTGGCTGAGTTGGCTGCCCCCAAGCAGCTGAGCCTGAGCCCAGCCCCAGCCTCAGCCTCAGCCTCCGGCCTGAAGGGTCTCCATGCCATCTTACCCCGTGTCCTTCACTGTGCCCCACACCAACTCCTGTCCACCCATGTCTGGACTGTTTTGAGACGGAGCCCCTCCAGTGCCATCATCTCTCCTCTGGACCACGTGGGCAGCCTCCTCCCAGTCTCCCTGTCCCCAGCCTCTATTTATTCTCCATGCAGCAATCAGACAACTCCAAGCATAACCACACCCCCCAACACACACATGCAAAGTGCAGAATCCTCCAAGCGGGCACCAAGTCCCGCTTGGTGCCCATGCACCTTGTGACCTAGTCCTCGCCCATGGCTTGCTGCTACCTGCAAGCATAATCATTCCCCAG